CGTATTTTCAAACTGCAATCATCGATGTTTAAAAGACTATTTGACAATTCAGATAAATCAATGAAAGTATTGTTTGTTTCGGAAAACATATTGAAAATCATTTTGTTAATCATTCATCATAGAATATTGTAAGAAATAATAATCATTTCTAACGTAAGTTTTATTAAATATCGTGATAATAAATTATGACATTTATCGATTTTTACGTTTAACCTAAAGTTTCTAATAAGTAAACTTAAATGGTTTCAAATAAGAATCTAAATTTATTACTATCGTAATAAAATTTTAACGTAATAGAAAACTTTATTATTATTATTATTATTATTATTATTACTACACCAAAGTACTTGGGGATAATATTTTTCTTTTCTGTTCACTTAGAGAAAATCTTCAAAAAAAAAAAGAAAAACAAAGAAGTAGGTTGGAAACGGCGGTAATTTAATATCATAAATTATGGAAGATAGAAAAAGAAAAGAAAAAAAAAAGAAAAGAAGAGAAAAGGCTTCCAAATTTCTTTATCGATTTTTTTAAAAATAAATTCATTCATTCATTTGTATATATTATATTTTAAATTATTGTATCATACATACGCGAGTATTCCCTTTTATCATTGATTCTTTTTTGATTTTTGTACAAAATCTTGAAAAGAGACATTTCGAATAGACGTACGAACGAAACTGAACGAAACCGAACGAAAATAAGGAAAAATTGGAAAAGTTTGATGGAAAATCTGCGAGAAAGAGAGAAATAAAATAAAAATAAAAAGAGAAACAGAGAGAAAGAAAGAAAAAGGAAATGAGTGACCAGATTGTTTGTTCGTTGAAAGATATGACGGACGTTAAGCTTTTTATCCGCTTTTCCTACTGGCAAATATCGTAACTGAGCCATGGGATACTTTAAACTGGACGTACGTATACACTATATATATATATATATATATATATATATATATATATATTGAAAAATCAATGACACTTTGTGTGAGTTTATTAAAGCAGCTCTTTTTCCAGCCGAAATGCTATGCATAAAACAAACTTGCTCAATTTATTTCTCCTTTAAATTGTAGTAAACATCCCACTGCCCCAAAATAACCCTGAAGAGGAAAAATCTTTTATTAGATAGATTTCATTTTTTATCGTGTATTTTTGTTATATCTTACCTCATGCTCTAAAAACAGAGCTTTCATTGTTCCTTTAGACCAATAATCCATAGCATAGGCCAATAATTTCATAGAAATAGGATTGACTCTAAGGAAGTTACCGACAAATACCACCTAAAAATAAAAAAAATGTTTTTTTCAATAAAAATGTCGAAAATAATTAATATGTTTCTCGCTATTATATAATTAATATTATTTTATATATAATAATATATTACCCTTTCTATTTTTTCATTAACGGCACACATACGTGCTATGGAACCAATATTATTGGTGATAGTAACAAGGGTTGCACGAGCAAGATCCTCCTTTGTAACTGCGTTACGACGTTCTTTAGAATTCATTTGTCCGAAACTAAACAAATTGACCAAAATTATAAATTATACGTGAAATAATAAAATAAAATTAAAGAAAAGAAAAAAATGTTGGTTTAAAACAATGCTGTTTACCTGCTGGCAACGAGATCTCCAGGAAGACCGAATGGCCCGTAATCACCCCCATAGATGTCTTTTACTAATTTGTCTACTCTAGTGTTGTCGCCACCTGTTGCTAATTCAATCGCTTCTTCAAAAGTGTTACAACCAGTGAGTAAACAGCACAATCCTAAGAAAGTTCCACCACCTAAACTACGAAGATCATTTATATGTTACACGCAAGATTCATTGGTATAATTTCCAATTATTATTAATGTTAATGTCGTCGCGTAAATAACTTACCTCGTTCCAGATATTCTCTTATAATTTTCTGGTCCATACACTGCTAATATACTGACACCTGAACCTATATTTACAAGCTGTAACAGGAAATTCCCCAAACGATTAATATATAATAATCCATTTTTCTGTCTGTCTGTGTTTGCGCGTGTATGTTTAAATAATATTAATATGTCATACCAAAAATGGATAAGGTTCAGAAAAATCATATGGTATTTTTTGACATCTGGTATTATCCGTTGGGTGAGACCAATAATAGCATTCGTGTGGATTAGTTATTTCGACATAAAGTATGCCACGTATTAAGCTGTCCAGTTCATCAAACTTTGCCAAACTCATATTCACTTCCTATAAATTATATCACATAGTTTTATAAAAATTCATTGGGTATAATGAATAACGTAGATAAAATTGACAAGTACCTTCTTGAAATTTTCTTCAAATTTGAAGGCTCCGCCACCCGTTGCGCAAACAGTGGTCACTAGATTTGCCATACCTTTAGACTTTGCTAATGCTAGAAAATTTCCCATTTCACTGGTAGGGAATCTAATAAAGTGTAAAGTACCACGTCTGCCTCTGATAGAAACATTGTCCATCTATAAAGTGAAATAAAATAAAATGGAAACAATTTATCTTGAATTTATCCACACTGAAATACAAAAATCAAACTCGTACCTGCAAATGAGTATCTCTGTGACCTGTTTTTCCATAGGCTGAATTTTTCGTGAGATATCGTCGAATATTTTTAAGCGTTTCAAGTTCAGCGTCAGCTTCATCTCTCGTTATATCTTTAGGTTCAAAATATACCAGTTTACATAATGTACCACCTATATCCATACCAAACCATGGCATTGCTATAAAAAATAATTGTATATAATAAGCTAAAATATATAATAACATAATATTTATGAGAGAGATATATAGTATTTGAAAAATTTTTAAAAAGGAGAAATTACTATGTGGGGCAAAATAAAAAAGCTAATGTTTTATAAATTAGAGTATATTGTATAGTAAGTTAAATTGAATAAAGGTGTTAAACGTGAAGCTATATAATAAATAAACCAAAAATTATAATAAGTGCAAAATCAAACGCAAGCAAAATAAAAAAATATAAATATAAATATATGAAACACAAAGTATGATACTAAAAAAGAAAGTACATAATTTATCCTATAGCACAAACAAGAGAATTTAATATATAAATACTATAAAAATAAAGATGAAAATAAAATTGGCTAATCCAAGCGCACACATACAATTTACTGACTCACACGGTGGTGAATTATTCTTTGATTCGCTTTCCATCATTCCTGCTCCAGAATAACCATTAGATGCCATGATTTTTTTTTTCAAAATGTTCTTATAACTCTGCTTTGGATACATGGTTAGAATCTAAATTTCTTATCGTAAATGTCTGCAATGTCATGAACAACTTCTTAGCTATAAAAGAAAAAAACAAGCAAAAAAATGCAAAATAGAAAATCATTAGTTTAAATGAAAATTAAAATTTATGTTAAGATAAATAAATAAATATAAAATAATGTAATATAGCTCTTCTTACACTATACTAATCTAGTTATGCGCCTTTCTCTCTCTCTCTCTCTCTCAATACTAACAACTGGTTAACAAGTATAGTCAACTTTTAACCAGACTGAACTCTGTACTACCATTTATCTTTGCAGAAGCAAAGGTTATACCTTAATTATGCATGTCATGAACAGGAAACGTGAATAGATATTAACATAAGTAAAGAGTTAAATATATTTAATTTATAGATATAACTTATTATTTTATTTATTTTATATTACGAATTATTTCATTTGAGAGACAATTATTTGACTCTAAGAGGAAGATAAAAACTAAAAATGCTACAATTGTTGTTCATATTTATTACAATAGTTAGATTATTTTTACTACTGCTAAATAATCATTTTTAAATCATTAAATGAATAAAACAAGCAACTATTTCTCTGTTTCATAATTTAAAAAATTATATATGAGTCATAGATCGAAAGTAGAGATCGAAGTAACATATTAGAAATTCGAAATACAGTTAAATAAAATTTGGTGATTCTACGAAATTAAACAAAAATAAATTGAGCATTAGGTTATTTTAAGTCTTAGCGGTTTCTTCTAATTTTTAATTATTATTATTCATTTTTGATCATTATTTTATCAGCGACAAGAAATATAAATTTATATAAGAAATATTCTTTAATATTTATATTTAATAAATGTGTTATAATTATAATTGCACTATAAAAATAAAACTATAAATGCAAATCATTTCTATGAAAAAATATAAATTTTCGAATTATTTTATACACTGTGTGAGATATTAACGACACCGTCGACTGTATATGTTTTGACGAAAGAGTATAATCGTCATCAATTTTACAAGAGAGGGAAAGAGAGAGAGAGAGAGAGAGAGAGAGAGAGAGAGAGAGATCAAAACGAATCATACGATCGGTTAACAAACAGGAAGTGACCTAAACTCTTAGAGTCTCACGTGACATCGATGATTTCGACCTTGCAGATTTATTTATTCTTATTATATACACCGAGAGACAATAATGCAATTAATAATCTATCAAACGAGAGCGAGGAAAAGAAATAAAAAAAAGAGAGAGAGAGAGAGAGAGAGAGAGAGAGAGAGAGAGAAAAGAAAATGAAATAATAAGCGCAATATGAATGTACAAATGTACGCGCGTGATGCGCGTGCCTGTGTGCGCGCGCGTGCATGGATTGTAAAAATGTCATAAAACAATCGTTTGTACCTGAGCTCTTGCATCGAGAAGAATAAAAACGTAATAAATACAATATCGTTGAAATAACTGTACTAAAAACGGTACATTAAGCGATAAAATGACACTGACAACGACGACAACAACGACGACGACGACGACGACGACGACGATGACGACGACAATTGTTTTTCGGCTTACCTAAGGGCGTCATTTTGTGCATAAACAATTCTAGTATCCTCCGAATTTGAAGAAATATCCAAACATATTATTCCTGTTAAGTGATAGATATAAGTTTATAAGATATAAGATCCAGTTATCGGCTATCTTTCGACATATAACGGTAATCTTGACAATTCTTCGATTAGAAATTTGTATTTTTCTTTCATTGACACTGAATCGTTAATATGTTGATCCATAGTCTTTTTTTGCTTTGTATCTTTTTACGCATTTATTACATGGTCACACAATTTATGATAAAAAAGAAATTATAATCGATAAAGAAAAATTCACATAAGCGTTCTTAGATTCTTATCAATTAAAATCAAGTAGAATAAAGACCACTAACCAACCGCACACACATTCCTATTTATCTGAAAGTGCTAAATTACTAGCGCCATCTTCTTTCTCTCGCTCTCTGGTAGTACACTGATCGATTACTATGTATACGCATACATGCTCACCTATACATTTTAAATGTTCATTCAGATTATGTAAAATTATAAATAAATCAAAATTAATATTTAGATCGACACACTAAAAATAATTGTTCTTTTATTTATCTATGATTTTATTATTTGTATTTTTTAAAAATTCTTTGAATCAGAAATATAAATGGATATATACTTAAAAATATATATTGAGCAATGTATATCACTGAAAATATCTATGTTTCAGTTTTTACCTTGAAAATGTATATATTTATTACGCTTTAAACTTTTAAACTTCTAAACTAAAACTAAAAATGCAAATGACGGAAATCTAAACTTTTCTTTCTAATAGTTTATTTTTAATATTTGTTCATACACAAACAATACAATATACTACCTTACTTGTGTCTACTATGCGACAATGATTAAGAACATTGCGTGCGAGCCATCATTGAAATTTTCTGCGCTTTTTGTACTATGTCTGGGCAACGTCTACGACGTACAAGTCTACAGTCCTGAAAAAATCCTTCGTTTCTTGGGAATCCATGCGACCCATCGGAATAAGTTACCAAACCTACGTTGATAATATTATATAGTAAATATTACATATAACAAAAGAAATAAATATTTGTTTTCTTTATGATGGTTGGATCTTTATAAGTAATATTACAAACCTAAGCCCCATACTCTTCCGCCACGAAATTCTCCCTCGAACTTCATACCATCGGCTCTCCAAAATACCCCATGTCCGTGGAACCAACCCTGCATGAATTCACCTTCGTATCTATATATATATGTGTATTAGCGAATAATATTATTTTACGTATTATAAAGTTGCACGTAATATAAATAGTTTGATAGGCTGATGCATAATAAAATGATACATTATGTTTACGTACTTTGCTCCATCGGGAAATATAATAATGCCTAAACCGGAACAAAGTCCGTTCTGAAAGGAACCGTCGTATCGTGTACCATCAGGAAGAAGAAACGAACCAGCTCCATGTTTCAATCCTCTGTTATTCCAATCGCCAATATATTTTGTTCCATCATCATATTTGTATGCACCTGTCTTAGCCACACCTATAGACAGATTTGACAACGATGACTTTTTCTATGAATTTAAATTGTTTCTTTTTTTGTGTAAACACATCTTCCTTTTTTTCATGCTAATTGCAAGATTTTATAATATATTTAACTTATTTTTTACTTAAATATTTATATATATATATACAAGAAACAAATAAATAAAATTTCTATCATTTAAGATCTTACCATCACCCATGCTTCCAACAAACTAATTTTATTAGTGGGAACTTTCAGGTTTAAATTCAATTACTGAAATTAATTCTTTATTTGATTATGAAGCAGTATGTATAGTATAAGTCTAGCATATTATATAAGTAATGTTGCTTTCTTTTTCTTTTCTTCGTTTTTTTCAATTTATAAATAAATGTTCACCTAAATATTAAAGTAATGCTTTCTTACTTTTAACCGAATGTTTGTAAATATAATTTTACTACACATCATATCAAATAAATATCGTATTCAAAGTAAATGCATATAATCAAAATATATTATTATTATTATTATTGTATACGCAACAAGTTCTATTTTTAAAGGGTTACAAAATTAGTGTACGATTTTATGTTTTTACTTATCGTTCGATTGAGATGTTTTACATGATTTTTAATTAATAAGTAAATTCAGCAATACGAATGAGTTAGAACAAGTTAACAAATTTTATTATAATTATTATAATAAAATTAAACTTGAAAATATAAAGTAATTAATATTGAGTCCAACTGATGTAAATTATTTACTAATTCATTAATTTTTGATTCCACCAGGCGTGGAAACCAAAAACCAATGGGTTCTAGCTTTTACAGCTGCTTTCCTTACTAAACGTTTTTTATCGTCAAGAATCTTTTGGAGCTTTTTTAAAACATTTGGTTTATATATGTTAATCAATATAGCAGGATAATACGTGTAACTTGTTAAACAGTCTAAAGCAACAATTCTGATGTTCTGAAAAAGAAATATAATTATTATTATTGTTATATAATCAACGGATGTAAATAATAACTAATATAAATAATTACCATTGATTTGTGGGTTGACAATTGCAAAAGTTTTGAAAGAAAAGATTGCATCTTATCAGAAAAAATCTCATGTTTTGTATCTAATAAAAGTTTTAAAATTTTCAAAGTAGAAAGAACTAATTGTTCATTGTCCAAGGATAGAGATTCAAAGAGAATAAGAACTAACTGTTATTGGAAATAAATATTATTATTATTATTGGGAGAGAGTAATAATATTATTAAATAAACAATATAAACTTACATCTGATAAATGCATGTACAATAGTTCGGTAGGTATTTCTTCTATTAAATAAGTTAAAGCAATTAAATAATTTTGTCTTGAATTCTTTACAAAATTATTATTTTGCTTTAATAAATGCTGAAATATTCTTTGTTTATAAAACATCTTTATATTACAAAAGTTTTCATACGTTAAAGCGTCTTCCACATTACACATTAACATTTTATATTCTTGAGCAACATATTCACCTACTTCGTTATGATTGAGCATTTCTGTAAACTACAAAATATATAATATTATTAATATTAATATTGTTATTATTATTATTATTAATTTTCTTGAATGCAATCATCATATCTTGTGTGCATTCTTGTATTTCTATTAATTTAAAAAAATGTATACATACAACATTCAGACAATCTTGAGAATTACAACTTCCTTTTGTAACAGCTGCTTTCGTTAACCAAATATATAAAATAACAGTTGCCTGTTTCGTATTTACATCAGAATTACATTCCAAATTTGTCTTTACTTTTTCTTGAAGATATAAAAAACAATTTTTAAAATGTTCCATATTATTCATTTTGTTTAGTATCACGGAAAGTAATTGACAAGATATCATTCTTGTAATAGAATTAGAACTATTCATCGCTAAATTGTATAGACTTTCTAATAAACTATTATCAAGCGTTAACTTAACGTCTTGTTGTAAAGAAATAAGTAAACTGATTATCACAGTAATAACATTAATATCGCAAGTTTGTTGCGTTATTTGGACAATATGTTTATCCGTAATCGTTTGTTGATCCTCAATGGAAAGACCTCTCACAACACATTGGCAAATATTCGATATAAGAGACAATTTATCAGAGGAAGTATTTCTTGTAAACGATATTAATTTATCAACGATGTTACATTCATTGTACAAATAATATTGGATACCAAAATTACTGTCTTTAGTTGAAACAAGTTTATGAATACAATTTAATGCGGTAAGACTTATCTCCGAATTAAGAGAATTTCCTGCATCGAGAATTTTTGGTAAAATTTCATTGGCTAATTTTGGAATTTTTGCAATTACGGATAATGCTTGTAACCTATGAATTTTAACTTTTATATTTGTATCGTCTGAAATATACAATTAATAAATATATATATATATATATATTTATTTATATATATTTTAAATTAAGATTGACTATTATAGAAAATAGAAAAGAACTTTTTGATTAATTGAATATAAATAAATTCATTAATTATTTACCTGTATCTATCTGAATTTTTTCTTGAGTCAACGTTAATATTTCATTTGGATATAAAGTAGCGAATTCTGCAAGGCATGCATGACAAATCTGGATCAATAACACATTGCCGTTATCAATTTCATTACATATAATATCGTATAATAAAATTCTATGAGTTTGATTTAAATAAGCTCTTTGTATCGTCAAACCAATAAGTATTTTACTTCTTAATTCTATATATTTATCAGTTAATTCATCAATATATAGCTGCGGAATGTCTGTCCAAGTTAATTCTGGGATACCTATAAAAACATGAAGTCTATTAAAATATTATTTTCACACATTAAAAAATCAATATCAAATATTACAATCTTTAAAAGGTCACAATTTATCATTAATTAAATACATACTTTTGATAGGGAAACCTAATTCAGAGGCAATTTTAATGAAATTATTTAAAGTATCTATTATGATGACTTTATCCAATAATGTTTTTTTTGTAGAATAATGACCAAGAAAAATTGGCACTATAACACGTAATACGTGTATACAAGTTTGCTTATTCACCCTCGCTACAGCCTCTAATAAATTTTTTACCGGTCTGAATAAACTTAATTGTATATCACATAAAGACATTTTAGTATCTGTTAAAATTTTTTCAATAAATGTTTCATGAAGTCTTTTATTGACAGTTATAATTTCAATTAATGTAGTTAATGTCTTAAGGGTAGCATTTTTCATTTCCAAATCACCACCAGACATAACTTCTTTTCTCATAATAGACCAAAGTTCTGAAAGATATGGTTCCAATCTGTTTGCGCCAAATACATTGGCACTTTTGCATAACAAATTCAAGGAGTCCAATTTGGCAACTTTAAAATCGGAAGATAATTTGTCCATTATAAGCGGTAAACAAAATTCAGCAAATTCAGGAGTTGCATAGAGACAAGGTGCTAACAATTCAGCCAAGTCTTCTCGCGTTATACTGACCATGTCCGTATTGATCTGCAAATAATTATATATTATGTCATGTATGCAAATATTTATAATATCATATATTTATAATCACAGGATATTGTAATTACAGGATTAAAATCTATCGGGAAGTAACACGAGATGACGTCAAACATTTCTTCTGTTAAATGTCCCAATTGAAATTCTTTGATAAAATTTGGAATTGTGTTGAACAGTAACATAAGATTCCTAGGATCACGTTCGCCATCAATAGAAGACATAACTCCATAAACAAAATTAATTCCCATTTGTTTCAAATCATCCAATTTATTTTGTAATAGTGTTATAAAAATTTTGTAGATGTTACGACGATCTTCTAAAAGTTGATCTTGGCACTGAACATGTTTGAACATGTTTGTGAATAAATAAACTGGTGCGTCATGAGGTAGATTAGTCATTTGAACCTAAGACAAAAATTATAAGAAAACATGAAAATATATATGATATAAATCAGCGATTAAATTGTTTTGAAAATCTATAAATATTTACGTACTATTGTTAAAATTCCACGAATAACTGCTGGTAAAATGGTATGATGATCTTTTAATCTATCGCAATAGAATACTATGATAAAATGTAATTCGGATTCATTAAGAAAGTCATTTGGTATCTCCGAGAGTATGGAGGAAAGTGCAGTGATTCCTTTTTCTCGAACGTTGACAACCTCATTTGTTACAAAAGGACCTAATTCTTTAACTAATGTGTATAATTTTAAGTTTCCTAGTTGTATCTCTGGAATATTGTGTTGAAATAAAATATTAATAAATTACTTACAGAGATAAATTTTTAATTATAAATTAATTGTTAAATAATCGTTTTTTTTTCTATATTGGTTGAAAAGAAAAGAAAAAACTAAGAAAAAAATGTATATATTATTATTCTATTCTTAATACAGTATGATAAAATTTATAATTAATAATCACGATAATTAACTATAATACTCACCCAAGGCTATATCTTTACATATTGAAAGTAATGCAAGTCTATCATTAAAATTAGCCGATAACCTCTCTGCAAGAGTGGAACTTGCTGGAGAAGCCATCTCCATACATGCATTCAGGCTAAGTACTCTAACAACGAAATTATAGTACGAGTTAACCTTAAAGAATTTATCATATGCATTCTACATTTACTTTCAAAGTAGATTTTTTGCTCAATGGTTAATATATACGTATACACACGGGACACGACACATAACACACACACACATACACACCACAAATGATGCATGCCATGCATCGTGTGGTACAACGTGTGTAACAACTCAATCATCGATTATTACGAGGAAACGTAAATATAAATAGGATAAATGATGACGATCCTAGAAAAAAAATAAATAAAATGACACGATCCATAAAATTAAATTAGAACATTTCGTATTTCGTATTTCTATTTGAGGTTAGATTATAGCGCCCCTCGTGGCCGGAGGTTAACACTATATAAAACTAAAATGGACGAAAATGGCATGTGAGGTGTTGTTAAATTTCAGTGAAATGTTTAGTTTCTTTAGCCGCCTAGAATGGGAGGCTGCATAGGCATAACAAGGGCTAGAAATGCCTCAGTCGATGACACATCAGGAAATTCAACGAGAACTAGCTCAGGTAAAACTAATAAGAAAATCGGTCAACTATAAATTACGCCTAACTTTAACTAACCTTGAAGTAGTTTTTCTTTTACCTTTAGATCTGCTCTGTAATGCGTCTTATATGTATATACATCTGACATAATTTGTTCTAAATGAATTTATCATTCGTAATTATAGTTTTTGTTTCTTTTAATTATAATTGATAAAGTTTTAACGTAATAGCTTTGGCAATTATATATCTCTATCCTCGTTGAAATTATTTATGTTTTATTTTAAAATTTTGTATGAGAGACATAAGGTTTGTTTGTCAAAATAATTAAATAGTAAATTATTTGTATGCTTATTTAATTATACGAATATACGAATGTTAAATTGAAAATAGTATTTTATAATACATGGTACATGTAATATTGTGTACACGTTACATTATTTATATAGGAAATTCAAGAAAAAATCACCCACTTTGTCACGAAGTAATCAGATGGAAATCGGACGTACCTTTAACCGAAGGTCAACTAAGAAGTAAAAGAGATGAGTTTTGGGATACGGCTCCTGCATTTGATGGAAGAAAAGAAATATGGGATGCGTTGAGAGCTGGAGCGACTGCAGCAGAAGCACAGGATTATCAATTAGCGCAGGCCATATTAGATGGAGCTAATGTATCCGTGCCAAATGGTTTCTTAACAGAATGTTATGACGAATTAGGTACACGATATCAAGTCCCTATTTATTGTTTATCATATCCAATTAATATCGTAAAAGAGGATAGCGGTAGAGATTCACCGGCAGATTGTTCAGGTAAATTGTGTTTAATAAAATGACTGATATATATGTTTCATGTAAAACGGTTAGTTTTTTCATTGGCTTTTATTAATAATATATTTGTTTAGAACCAATAGATGGAGGAACTGAACAAACTTTGAAATTACGACTATCAACAACTTTAGGAGATGTTAAATTACCTGTATACAGCAAGGATACTATCGGTATTGCAAAAAAGAAATTACAAGTATGTATTATTAAATTAAAAAAGGTATTTTTGTATTAATTTCATGTATTATGGTTTGAACTATATTTGGAATTTGTAAAATTAGAGTCAAGAAGGCCTAGAACCATCACGACAGCGGTGGTTTTTTGGTGGAAAATTATTAGGTGATAAGATGCATATAGAAGAAGCTAAAGTGCAGCCGGGTTATGTAATTCAAGTAATTGTAAATCCAGAAAAAACAGATGACAGTCCAGCTAAAACCAGTTGAATTTACATATATGCGTATATCGAAGTGACCAAACACACCGTTAAACCAATAATCCATACTAAGCACATTCTTGCACATATTCAAACAAATGTTTTGCACTTTTAATTGTATTTATCAAATCTAACGTGTATTAATTGAAATTGGTTTTATACAATGATAACATTGAATTTAAGTTTCAAGATTCTTTATTAAATATCCTAATATTTAGATTTAATTATTAAACTTCAATTATATTTACAATTTGATATATATATTACAATGACTAGCAAATAACACGGAACATTGCGCGTGTGTGTATGAGAATGTGCTTATTTTACTCAATGTTATCTATTTACATGTACAGTAAAAATCGACTGAGCTATATCTTCGACATCATCCAATATGCAAATGCAAAATTAATATACTATGCAAAGTTTTACACAATTAAACATTTCTATTTAATTAATATTGAAAATGATTGTCGTCATTATAATATTGTTACCAATGATAGTACTGGTGCTGTAAAATTATATAAAAAAGAAAAGAAAAAAAAAACATATTTATGTAAGAAACTATAAATAATCTTGTTAAAAGCTATTACATAATTAACAATCAGACAAATAAAGTGTATCATTCATATTGGAAATTACAGCGATATTGTTGATAGTTTATCAGAGCAAAGTGAGGAATAACTCGATAGACAATAACAGAGAACGATTGAAAGATCATTAATACTAATTATTTTATGTAATAACTAACTTTATTATTTTTATATATATTTGCATTAATTTTTTTTTATAATTATTACTATTAATATTATTATATTCTTCTTCTTATTATTATTAATTTCTCTTATTAC